AAAGAATTGTTTTTATAAAGGATAGGAACACTGTAACAATAAGATATCAGATTCTAGATTGAACAAGATACAAGGTACTTTTATTGGTTTAATAAAGGATGGGTACAACAGTAGGATATCAAAACACAGTTCATTCAACTTAAATTCAATATAACATGTCTTGAAAATAACTTAAGTCCATTTTTTCTTGTTAAGTGTCTGGTCCTGATTCTGTTAAAATCACTGAGAAAATTACCGTTGACTTCAGGAAATATATACTCCAAAATGGGTGTACTTTACTATGCTACTAAAGCATCTGGCTTCCAGATAATTATCATAAGGCTGGATAATAGTAGATATTAGCCAGATTGATGAAGCTAGCATGATTTGGTAAAAGTTAATAGAATTAGTAAATAGAAAGCTTCCATGAATTATAAAATTGTTGGCATTTTCGTAAGGAAAGTGTTTGCAACTTGGAACAGAAGCCTAACATATCATATTTGAATTGGAATGAATTACAGTATATTCTCTCAATAGAGAACCTTGATGTGTTAACCCTGACACTTATAACACTGGAAAATTTCCAACATAAATGAAGAGCAGTGCCTTTGTTTCGGTTGCCCAGAAGTGAATGTTGCCCAGATTAGTGTTTTGTATTGGGACCTAGTTGCAGGGGTACAAGCAACTTGTTTTGTTTTCACTGGAGAGCAGTTGGGGAAGGGATAAAAGAGCTTTTTGATAATGTGAGGAATGTGAGGGGGAAGGGAAGGGAAGGTACTGAGATATGCATTTACTGTAAGCATGAGGAAGCAGAGGCCTCTTTATCAGAACTGGTCTAATGATGTGCCACAGTCACTTTATTTGAAAGCTTCGGGGCTCAAGTAAAAGTAAACAGATTCATTACATTATTTGTAAAAGAAAATTAAGTGCAGTTTGTTCTCTAGGGGACAGCTGCTGTAGTAATCTTCTACAAACACTTTAGGAATGACTGTAGCCTATGTTTTTTGGATTTTGCCTGGCTACATTGTTATTTCAGTAAATGCAGGAATGGCTTATCAAACGAAAACTTTGCTTCCTGTAAAATAAGTACCTTCCTGCTTTTATCCTAAATGCTAATTATTTTCAGCATGAGTTTTAAAAGGGCTCTTGTACAAATGTAATGTCTGCTCTAGTTGCTTAACCTGTGTAAGTGTGTTTGCACGTGCACGTGGGCTGCAACCTTTCTTCCTTTCCAGAAAACAGTTTAGAGAACAAATCAAAGCTCCTTTCTGAAACTTCCCTGCCCCCCATTTAGTCAAGTGCTTTCTTGCCCCTATTGAGCTCAGTTAGACTTTGAAAACAGCAAGCTGCAAAGACAAGTCAGAGTAAACCTTGATGATATGGGAATGCCGACAGAACAAATGTTTAGTCCTCAGCAGGTATCTTTGGCCTTGTCTTACCCACCACACCCTTCCCTTTCATATAGCTAGTAATAATGGCACTGAGCAGTTACACTGTCACCTTAAATCACTTCACAAATATTAATTGATGACATGTTAAGAATTTGGCACTTCATAAGCAGACAAGATTCTTTGGGTAAATGTGATATCTTTTATTAGACCAACTAAATAGTTGGAAAAATTGTTCTTTACAAGCTATCGGGCACAGACACCCTTCTCTGAATACCGTTGGGCTTATTGATACACACCTGATATTCTCCTAAAAACGATTCACTTCTAACTGATTGGATACCTTCTAATGAATGCCTTCTCATAGCAAAAAGGGAGATTCAGAGCCTTTTAAATATCTGACCGAGTGCCCCCGAGCAGTGTTTCTCAACCTGTGGGTCTCAACCCAAAAGTGGGTCACAAGAATATATGAAAGGGTGGCAAACAAACTTTAAATATGGATTCTCCTTTAAAGGAGAAAAACTTGGGAAACCGTGGGTTTTCCCTTGCAGGCTGGGAGAGCTGCAGCCTGCGAGGGGCTGCTTGCCCCCCCCCCCGCACACCCACCCCCAGCCCCACATGCAGGGTGGAGCTGGGGGGCAGCGGTCAGGAGTGAGGGGCACCAGGTGGGGACTGGCCACTGATGTTTACAAATGGGTCCTGGCACAAAAAAGGTTGAGAGCTGCTGCCCTAGAGAATAGCCACGAGGCTATTCTAACTGGACCCAACAGCTGGATCCCACATGTTTTCGGATCAGCTGGATCCGGGCAGGATCCACACACTACTGCAGTTCTGTACTCTCAGGAACACTCCTGGGGTACAGACTCTCTGCCTACCTTCTGTAGAAATGTGAGACGTCTCAGTGCAGCACTCTTATGCCAATCTTCTCCCAACCCCAAACTTCCCTGTTTCTGCCTTACATTGATTGTATCTGGCCATTTGTGTCAGAAGTCTCTCCGTGTTCAGCTTAGTCCTTGTCTGCCTTGTAGGAAGGTCCTCGTGCTCTAGTCAGTCTCTTGCATCCAGAATTCCCAGATAAAAGTTTGTGTCCTAGGCATGTTGTGTTCGCATGCACAGTACCTGTGTTTCATGGGCAGTGGGCTAATGGATAGGAATCATGAACAAGTCAGTAGTCCCTGATAACTGTATTCATGTCTTAGCTCTCCACAAGATGAGCTGCATGCCCTCCTTTTCAGGGCCTTGTTATATACCTCAGTTAGGTTATACATATACTACTCTAAACTGGCAGTAGAGGCAAAACACAAAGTCTGATCAGATACAAACTGGAAGGCACAAAACAAAATTGATGGACGTAACTATGTACAGGCCTACCCCAATCTATAACAGAGCCATGATTTAGAAATGTGTTTTGATATCAGCAATTGGAAACAAATTGCTGAAGTCAAATATTAGAAAGATATCTTTTTTATTAAGATGCAAAGTATCTTCATACCTTGGGTTTAATAACAAATGTATTATTATAAGAAATGGTACTCTGGTGTGTGCCAGAGATAAGGGAGCTATCTTCGTAAGAGAATTTTTTAAATTCCACTTGATCTTGTATTTCTAGAAATGGGTCAGGATTATTCTTTGCCCACCTGAAACATGACTTTGTAAAGGAAGAGAGCATTGGCTCTTTGTTTCACGCTGCAAATTACATAGTAGAGAATTTCACGCGGGCCACTTCCCCTCCTACCTTTCCCATTTTCATCATTGTGGTATTTCCGTTCCTGATAATTTTGGAGGCCAGCAAAGAGGTGTCTCTGTACCCAGGCTTAAGAACCGTGGAGCCAGAGGATTGACTAGGGAGACGTCAGGAAATAATTTCTGTGTAAACTTCCTGGCAGCTTGTTTCCCCTTCTTTTTGCTCAGTTACTTGGTCCAATCCATTTGTCAAGTTTTCATGACTCCTAAAATATTCCATTCACATGCACATTTTTCCCTCTTCCTTTCATATATCACATGCAGACCCCTCTGCTCAGGACTTTTCCATTCTGAAAGTTTCCTCCTAGAGAAGAGGAAAAGGAAGGCTGTATGTTATCTGTAGAAACAGATTTCACTCCAGAGAGCATCAGCTTTTATTTGCTCCTGCCACTAAGTTGCTTTTGCAACTTGGGGAAGGCAACTCAGTGACAAAGGCCCACGACCATACTCAAAGCAGTGCTTGAAGCATGGATATGGAGAAGGAGCAATTCCAGAAACCACTGAGAAAGAGCAGGTTGATAAAATATTGTTCCGGGCTCTGTGGAGGACCTGCCAGAATAGCAACCGTGTGGGGGGGGGAGAAAAAAGAGTTGGAAGTTCTAACATCATTCATCCACACCAATTGCATTGTGGCAGAGAGATTCTCCAAGTCTGGGATGCTGCTTGTTAGGTCCCCATTCTCCAGTGTCCAGTTGTTGCTGGTACGGTGCACATTAAGAGGTGGTTCCCAGCATCCAAAGCCCTATTGTCCCCCAGGGATATAGAAATCCAAACACCCAAAGAAAATTGCATCTGAAATCCAGTGAATGTAGATCTCTGCGTCAGATATGAATGAAAGCATTTTGGTGTCCCTGGTGGGTAGCTGTGGCAGAGGACTCCATAATCCTCTTAAGTAGATTGACTGTTAATAGTACCTAAATGAAAAGAGGGCTAAGGTGTAGTCCTCACTGGTTTAAGATTATGGGGAGGGAGTGGGCTGGGGGCATAATCCCCGTAGACCAGTGGAAGAAAGTTGATACAAGCAAGGTACAGAATCTCAACTTTTATCAGTATGCTTAGATATCCTGGGACCAGACCATTAAAAGATCACTTATACCTCTACAGTGAAGATGGTAGTGGACTGGACAGCTCTATCATGATGAGATTTGCTACAATAAGGGGCAAGTACGTTCATGTGGAAGACAGAGCTTTTGTGCAATGGGCTCCCTCAGGAGCTAAGTACCGTGATAAACCTTTTGAACTTTCACTTGCATTCAGGGGATATTTGTTTGACCTTTACCTTCCCTAGTATAAGCAGACAGCAGCATGTATATGTTAAAAATATAATAACAACCAAAAAAATCCACTGCACACACTGCTCCCACTGGGAAAAAGGTGAGAACAAATAACACGTGAGGGCTTTTAACCCTGTCACAGTTGAAAAGCACAAACACTATGGCGATGAGTATGGTATTAGAGCAATGGATGGAACAAAACAGAAATGTTCCCGAAGGCTAGTGTCATCATTGACAATACTGCACATCTGAAAGTGCAACACACTGATAGATATTCAATACAGTAAAGTTCTCAAGTGAGAATTTCCTAGTAATGAAACACCTCATGTGCTCCTTCTTCAGAAAATTGAAGTTATGTTTTGTCCCATGGTTCATTTCCTTATAGTAATATTATAATACTGTACTGTACTGTAGTATTGCACTTCCAATCCTTTCAGTGATCACTGAGCTCTTGCTGAAGAAAGACAGTAAAAAGTTTGTATTGGGAGATATACTTCTTTATATGTAGTGTTTTACTTTTAAAAGGGACAGTCTGTTTTACTCGCTTGTATAATGTACGTATCGTGAAGTTAAGCATAAAAGTTTTTCTGAAAAATGTTGATTTTTTTTCTTTCAGGCAATGAAAGCAGTAGAGGAAGAGAAGGAGCTGTCTGCAGAGGAAAGGAGGATTTTGGAAAGAAAATTAAAGAAAGAGCGTAAGAAGGAAGAAAAAAAACTGATGCGGGAAGCTGGAATCTCTGCTAAGAAAGAAGAGACCAAAAAGCCATCAGGGTCTGAGTTGGCACTGGAGTATTTAACTAGGTAAGAATCCCAAACCACTGAAGCTCTGCATGAAAAGTAAGCTGTAGATCATGGCAGAAATGAAGACCCAGCTGAATTAAGTAATAAAACTTCAAAGTTCAACTTAGAGTTGAATGTTAGTTTCATGTTTCTTCTCAGCTGTCATATATGGACAAAATGATTCATTCAACTTTATTATTATTTTTTATTATTATTTATACCGCTTCTCTCTATGTGAACCACCGTGTAAATCATGGCAGAAGACATTCCCTGCCTTGAACATCTTATTGCACTTCCCATCTTTTCAGTGATCATTGAGATCTTGCTGAAGAAGGACGATAAAAACAACTGGGAAATTTACTTCTTTGTAGTGTGCTGCTTTGAGACAGTCTGTTTTAGTCTCTTATATAATAAAGTAGCATTAAATGGTTAGAGATTCAGTGTAACCCAAAGCAATCACTGGCATTTGGGAATTGTAAATGAGATGCACTACACTCCATTTTAAACTTCATAAAGTTAAAAAGCTGTCCATTTCTATGCCAAGGGTTCATCACTAAACGGCTTTCAGTTTGCAAATAATTATTTTCTGTAGTTGGCATATTTGTGTGTAATACTTAAAATTCCAGTGTAAAGCAAAGTCCACATTTAAAAGAAGTGCAACTAAACTGTCTTAGTACACTATAACCAGTGAGAAGTCCTAAATAAACAGGAAGGTGGCATTTATTTTTTCTGAACTAAAAACTACTCTGCACCTCTAAAAGCTCCAGAAGATTTGCATGTAACAAAGAATAGGTTACTACTTGGAACAGCTCCAGTTTTCTATCTCTGGCAGTGCTTAAAATGAAATACTCAGACAGTCTGAATGGTTACTTACAACTTACAACTCCTCAGTGGGGAGGGAGGAAATTAATTGCATTCCAGGCTGAGGGACATGTGCATTTTTGTTACATAACCTTCATCACAGAGTGATAGCAAAATGACAATAATATTTTAGATCTGGAAAACAGCTGGGGCCCTTCACCATTGTTTTGAACTGCAAATGGATTGGTAGTTAGCTACCATCTGTTTAAACCGTACTCTGGAATGTGTGTTAGTAGGTGGGGATATGGAGATAATGGCTTTCAGGTTTGGAAAGCAAAAGAACAAGCTGTGGGTTTTTTGGTTAATATTCTGTATTATCTTTTTGGATTTTTGCCTAGTTAGATGTACAGAATAAAACCCTGAGGACATCATAACTGTTAGAGAGAAACATATTTTGACCATAGTGTGTCATTTGACCTAATACCAGATTACCTTTGAACCTGTCAGTGCACAGTTTGGTTGTGTAATTGAATCCTCTGTGTATATACATCAACATGGTATTGGGGAATTATGGCATAAACCACTGACTTGAATCCAGTGAGATTAACAGAGAAGGGTTGTAGGATTCTGATCTACAGAGCAGATATGATGATGAAGTTTTCCAGCTGTTAATTATGGTTACCTCTCTTGTACTGTTTTAAATTACAGAAAAACCTACCTTCTTTTTTATACATTTGAAAAGCTTCCATAACCCTTAGGATGGGCAACTGAACAAAAGGCCCATACTTAGAAGTCATCACTCAGGTTCATGCCTTCAGTTTTAATCTTCAAGAGAAAAAAAAAGTCTGAAAGCATAGGTCTTAGTGGCAAAACTCCCACTGACTTCATTGGGGCCAGGATTTCAATCCTGTTGTCCTTTTCAATTGGTGAAGTCATTTTCTGAATAAAGGAGAATGTAGGAAGAAAAGGCAGTAGTACAGGTGAATGATGAGTGATGTTGAAAGCAAACAAAAGGAAGTTGTGGGTTTATGTTCTGCACTTACTTAATATAGTAAAATACTTGGTAAGTAAGGTAGAGTTTTAACTGTCTAACTCTTAATGTGAATCTCCTGTTGGACAGGTGGAACTTGAAGTTATTTACTGGGGACTAAGACTGTAGTTTCAGTTTATTAGCAACAGAATATTCAGTGTTAAAAAACACCACATCTCATTTTGGCTTTTGAATTCACTAAAAGAAATCAACCCTATATTGGTACAGTGAGCCTCAATATGCCTCAGAGGAAAATATTAGGACACATTAAGAGAGAGATGCATGGGAAAATGCAAGTCATTATTTTATAGGGCAGAGGGAACTGCTTGCATATTCCAAGAATTATTAGCACTTTGGTAGAATCACAGTGATGTACATGGAACAGAATAAACAGTATTTCTTCATCAGAAAAGGTCAAACAGGAGAAGAAAAAGACGAATGCAGGAAAGGAGTAACAAAATGCTAAGTGTGGAAAAGAAACAGAAATGAATCTGTCATAAGGTTTTTGTGTTTCCTTGTTTTACTGTATATAGAACAACCTGGTTCAGGTGCAGTGCTGTATGCTGTAGTTTAAAAAATAAAATGAGAGTAGCACTCAGGCCCCAGGGTAGAGGTTCTTCTTTGCGGGTGCGTAGCATCAGTCCCCTGAGGGCATGCCTCACCCTCCTAGTTGCAATGAATTAATGAAGAGCTAACATTTATGAGAGGGAGTAAGTCATGCCCAGAGTGGGGAATCTGAGACTGTTGATTGGAGACTTACCTCCTGATGCCTCTGACACCAGCAATAAAAAAATCACAGCTGTATTCAAAACAGTCTTCAGCACGGCATAGCTATGTTAGGCAGGACACATGACTCTTCCTGACAGAAATAACTGGTTCTGCCACCCCCTTCACAGAGAGTGTCGGGTGTTTTCAGAAGATTTAGTACTGCTCAACACAGCATGCATGAATCAGAACTATACTTTCAACCTTGCACGTGGTTTGTTACTACTGAGGGTGGAGGAATTAGGGCTAGATTAGTAGAGTTTGGGCCCCAAGAATATAAAGTCTGATGTTACAGAGGGAGTCCCAGATAAACTCGGTTAGATCCTCAGGTGGTGTAAAGCAGGTTAGGTGCATTGAAGTCAGCGATAACTAAAGAAGTTATACCTCCTAAGGATCTGCTCCGGTTGTAGCAGAGTGCCCTCAAATACAGCTGCAACAGCATCACTGGCTCAGGCCTAAGGAGGAGAGGCGATCACATTCACAAATGGATAAAGGGCACAAAATGACAATGTACAGAACAGCAAGCCCAGGGGTACAATTAAGACTGTCTGGCATGGATTTCCAGAAAGTATAATCCATTAGTCATTTCAGTGATCACAAATAAGCCAAAAGGGACAAACCCTTTGGGAAATGAACATCAATTTTCTCTTAAAGCAGCCTCGTTTTTCAGCTAACTAAAAAAAAAAAGATTCTTCCTGTTTATAAGGTTGTTCATTAAAGGACTTCTTAGTTGACAAAAGCACTTTAAAGTGAGGTCAGATGGGAATGCCACCTTGGAACTGATGGAGGGTATATTGTAGGAGGAAAAAAAAACAATTTAATTACAGTGATTCCTAATGCTTGCTTATATTGAAAACAAATCATCCTGCATTTCAATAATACCAGGAGTGTGATGCACAGCAGCCCTGCGAAAAACTTGGATATATAAAGGTAATGCTCAACTTGTTTTTCTGGCTTTACCATGTCTTAAAATAAAAACACAAGCACAATAGAATAGTTTTTATAAGAGTTTGTTGGGTATGTAGACAGTATGCGCTAAAGTCCTGGTTGGTAACTGCTTTGAAGTTCAGTGAGTGTTTAATATTAGTAGGCAATGCAAACTAATGATGATGGGGACACCACCAGAGTATATGACTTGGAAAGGCTCTGAAAGTTCAGGGCATTATCTGAACATATCTGGTCTTGTTTGATCAAGAAATTAGGCTGGAAGTCTTCTAAGAATAGCCTTTCTCTGGAGAGTTCCTTTTCTTCTTGGTTGTGGGTGGAACGGAAGGATAGTGAAAGGTTGTCTCCTTACTGCACCGCTGTTCCTCTTGGGTATTTTGATCTTTTTGCTTTCAGCTCTAGACAAAACCTGGAAGTGTGGCGGGGCACAAACATTTTTTAAAAAGCGAAAAGGAAAAGATTTTTTCTAGTCTTTAAAAAGTACAAGTAATAATTTTCCTCTGAACTTGGTCTATCTAAATTAGGGACCCTCCTGACAACTATAAGGATTCATGGATTTTTTTCCCCCCGCTGTGCCTACACAATAGCAAAGTGCCAAGAAAAATGGGTCCCAAAGGAATTGTCAGAAGGTGGCAAACAGTGAGCCCAGCCTGAGTGTTTGTCTTGGGGTCTAGATGAACTTGAGGAAAACCTGAGTGTTTGTCTTGGGGTCTAGATGAGCTCTACCGGGCCAGAAGCTTTGAATTGGTTTCCTCTCACTAGTGTGAAGTAAGAGCAGACCATGGTTTCTGCCACTTTCTCCTGTTCTCCTCCCCAAAGAGAGGGGAAAGTAACCGAGTGAGTTCTTTTCTTCTCCTTTCCCCTCATCTGGGATTGTAAGAGAGGGGGAAAAGCAGCTCTTGTCTTCCTCATTTTGATCTCATCTTCCTTCATTCTCAACATAGTATGGCAGCTCCCTTATCTCCATCTTGGCTTCTCTCCCTTGGAGATCCCAGCATGCCTGCCCAAACAGGAAAAACACTGGTCCAGATTCTCAAGCACATATAGGTCCCTTCCAACCCCTAACAACTATGAAACTATGAGATCCAGGCAAAGATGTGACAAGGTGTTGAGATGAGAGAAAGTAGAACCAAAGGACAGGATAGGTGGAAAGGTTATAAGAACCTGGAAAGGGAAAATAAAAAATAGTCCAACATGGGAAATAGAAACATGAGAAGAAAGCGCAGCATTTCTCAGTGGCAGGCAGGGAAGATGTGCCACATTTTATATAGAAGTAATTCATTTGGTTATGTGGATCTTGCTTCCAGAAGGCATCTCCCAATAATAGTGACATCTGCTCTTCATTTATAATGAGAAGCGAGGGTTCAGTTTTAAGACTGAGATTAGAAATGATTTTTTTCTCATTGCTTTTGATGCTCTCAAAACTAAGCCGAAAATTCCCACCTCTCTGAGAGCCACTTGGCTACAGGTGAAAGAATGT